CCCCCTGTAGGGGGCGCACAAGAGGCAACCACACATTGATGTGTCTCTCCTTTACTTCCTCTTTCTCTTCCCCTCTCTCTAAAAATAAATAAGTAAAATCTTTTTAAAAACAGGGAATAAAATACATTATATTACAAAGAAAATTCAGTCACGATGAAATAAAATAAAAATATTTTAAAATTATGATGTAGTTGTATATATTTTTAAATAAATAACGTTAAATAATAAGATCTACCTATGGGTCTAATAACTACTGAAATTTTGAGGTAGTGATAAGAATAAATGATTTTTTAAGATAGCTGTGACAATTGTATTTATAATTGATGAAAATACTGAGTTTTGATTCGTGTTAGTGAAAATAATGATTTTCCCATCCATTCAGTTAGCTCTTGATGCATGACAGATGCCCCCAGTCTTAGGGGTTAAAGCCACCACTTTACCTGGGGATATGGGCGGGGCGCAGTGGAGCCTGCTGGGCGGCCTGTGTCCCAGGGGTTGGAGCTGCAGGACCCTCGGGCCTTGCGTGGCTGCGGGCTTGGGGCTGGTCTCAACCGGGGTTCCCCGCTCCCTCTCACGGCCTTCCACTGTGTGGACAGCGAGCGTCTTACACAGTCTCTGGTTCCCAAGACCTGAAAGTGGGGACTGCGGTGCCCGTTAAGGCCCAGGCTTCCCTCTGTTGGTGAAAGCAAGCTCCTGGCCGAGTCCACATTCCGGAGGAGGGGAAGTGGACTCCCCCGTTCGTGACACAGGTGGCAAAGTCACAATGCCAAAGGGCACGTGGGCTGAGCGGCACCTGTGGAAATAACCTGCCACAACAACCTGCTGGTCACAAGTCACAGCCCTTGCGTATGCAGACAGAGCTCACTCCCCACCTTCAGGAGTCTTGCCACCTTTCTTGGCATCGGCATCCAGGGCGTCACTGTCTGCACGATACCAGATCCCAGCGAGGCTCCCTGGGTGCAGTTCTGGCGCAGGTGCTGGGGCGGAGCGCTGGACCTGGAGACCTGTGCGGCCGGGAGTCCTCCCCTGCCCCGCCTGCGGTCAGGAGAGGGACGCAGCACCTGCAGAGACAGCCCTGGCCCAGAGGGGCGGGAAGGGGGAGCTCACAGCTGTGCCTGGTCTGCGCCTGAAACCCCTTACTCCGAGGCCCGAGGGCTCCTCCCGCCTTCCTGGAAGCACGGCTTTCCAACCCACAGGAGGGCCTGGGTGGCGCGGCCCCATTTGTGATATTTGCGCAGCGAAAGCCCCTGTGTCGTACGGCTCTCAGAAACGGCGAGCCGTCACACACTGCTCTCACTGGCTGCCGCTCCCATACAACATTTGAAACAGTGTTTAATAGTTTTTAGTGCATGAATGTTTATAGGTGAAAACCTCAAATTACTGATACTGTATTTCTTGAAGATATTGCTCACAATTTAAAAAATTATAACCTTTAACCTTTTTAAAAAAGAATTTTTGTTTTGCTTCCCAACATTTCGTAATCTGTCTTTGAAGCAGTTAAGGTCTGGTTGTCTCCGCTCTGTCGGTCTGGTCTGTGCGAACTCAGACATCAGGGTCCCCGCCGCGAGGTGAAGCTCTTGCTCTCTGAGCACCAGGCTGGGTCACACCGCGTCCTTTGAGCCCATGCCCAGCAGTGTCGCGCACATGGGTGAAGCTGCTAGGCCTGGATGGTCAGGTGGACATACCCAAATGCCGAATGTGGCGGGGTGGTGGTTGTTTTTTTTTTCTGGGAGGGGTAAGCCTGCTAACTTGTCACCAAAGATGGCTGCCTGTCATTGTTCCTGTGGTCATTCAAGCCTGTGGCTACTCCCAGCAAGAGACGGAGGCCGTATCCTTTCGCCTGAGTCTAGGTGGCCTGTGACTGGCTCTGACCAGCGGCAGAAGTGATGCTGTGTGAGTTCTGGCGTGAGGAGGCTGTGCAGTTTCTGTTTTCACTCTCTTGGAAGCCTGTCACCCCCTAAGAAGCCTAAATACCCTGCTGGAAAGAGGTGCTGCAGCCCCAGCCGCTGCCCCCGCCCCCCAATCCCCGCCTTCCCGGCAGGAGCCTGAGGGGAGCCACCTCGCTGGTTCCTCCTCCGCCCGCCCCCAGTTGAACCCAGGCCCTCGGTGACTCCAGCGGCCGCCACAGGAAGCAGCTCCGCTGAGCCAGCTCACGCCCAGAGCTGCGAGAAACTGCAGGGCATTGTTTTCAGCTGCTGCGCTCAGTGTGGTTTTTAGGTGGCAGTAGATAACTGGGACAGATAACTTCATGCCTGAGGGGTTGTGTGACTTTGCCTTGCTTATGTTTATAGCCATATTTTCTCTTACCCACGTTGCGCATCGTTCATACGAGGAAATTATGTTGTCGTTGATGGTGACAGCTTGCACTAGGGGAGCCCATCGAACAAGTGTGGGAGGTGTGGCTTCAATTTAGAGTCTGGCCTCCGGCTTATCCCGGTATTTCAAAGTCTGTGGGCTTATTTTTAACGGCATATTAAATTTGTAACTCTGTATGTCTTATGCCAGGCAGTATTGTGATGGTTTATATTTTGTTGTGGCCTATTTAATCCCCGTCAGGACCCTCATTTGGTAGGGCTTTATCGGTGTGGAAGCTTAGGCTGAGGATGCGAGTTCAGTTGCCTGAGGTCATACCGCTGGTAAGTCCCGGAGCCAGGAAGGGGCGCAGGTGCCCAGCCCCACACGTGCTGCGCCACCCCCTTCTTCCCGCGTCCTCCCGTCGTAGGAACAGGCATGCCAGCTAGGATTTAAATTTAGGGAGTGTGTTTAACTCACCAAAATAAGCCAAGGCAGAAACGCGGGGAAGGATCGCGCACTAGGAGTCAGAAATCCACGACGTTTGGTGTTGGCTGTGACATCTCTGCGACAGTGGACCCCGGTGTCCCCACCTGAACAGGACGGACCAGATCAGTGCTGCTGGAGCGGGGCCCCCGGCCCACCCGCATCAGGGCCCCCGGAGTATTGTTTGAAACGGGCAGGTCCCACCGGGTTTCAATGCCGTGCTTTCCAGGCAGCGTCGGGGCGTCAGCAACCCGCTGGCAGCACAGCAGACTCACCGCTTGATTTTGCTGCGGCCGGGAATTTAATTTCCTGCACCATCAACTTCCCCTCTCCACTGGGTGATTTCCATCAACAGTCAAGTCTGACGCTTGCCCCCTGAAAACGCTCCCTTTCGGTCCCAGCCCCCTCGGAGGCTGCGCCAGCTCCCTGCTGCCCCCCTCACCGGCCCCGGCTTCACCCCCTGCTCCTCTGGTCACCTCTGGTTTCAGCTCAGGGGCAGCCTCAGCTGCCGCCTCCCGGTGTTTGTAGCACTGGACAGTTGTCCCCCTCTTCCCTGGCTTCCAGACACCCCTCTCTCTGGGATTCGATGGCCTCTGGGTCACTTCTTAACCTTTATTGCATCTAATTTTTGGGGATCACATTCCTTTTACCATCTGGTCATTTCTGTGGACCCACTTCCCAGAAAAGAAATGTATGTATGATTATAAGGGCAAAAGTTATCACTGATACCAGTTTCATCATATTTAATTATGATGACTTCTAGGAAGCTTTGAAGCCAAAAGAGTGCTTCTAATACAGTCTTTGGAAATTCATATATGTCATCTATTCTCTAAAGTGATCGCTCGATAACATTAGCACCTACCTCTGTTTTATGGGGCGTGCGGAGGTTCCCTGGGCAGACACTGCCGTTGCCGTGATGAGAGGCTGTGTGCGCGACCTGGTGGGCCTCGCGCCTGTTTGGAACCCCTTGGGAAGCGTGGCAGAGGGGCCGTTACATACAGCACTGTAATTACTGTTGCTGTTAAACCCTGCTAGAGAACTGTGAAAAATTGCTATGAAACCTGAATATAAATTATGGTCAAATAGCTTGTATTTCTGTGGAATTGTTCTCACCTGTTCTATTTTAGCTCTATATTTAAGCTTTTAAAATGTATTTAGTTCAAGCTGTCATTTAAAAGAATTTGTACATAATCCTTTACTCACAAATATTTTCACTTATTTGTATCCTTTTCCAGTCTTTATCCATCTGTGAATATGATTCCTCTATAGTTGTATCATGCACAATTTGGTTCAAGTTTTAGAAATCTCAATATCTTGTAATATCATTTAGTATTACAGTTAGAATTTTTAACCTATCTGTTCACTTAATATTTTCTGTTCACCTGGGCATGTCCAGAGTTCCTCAAGTGCAAATAAATGCTATTATACAGGGTCTTTGTAAGTGCAATTTTGTTTTTATTTTTAAATTATTGCCTGCTGACGAATTCCCAGGTGTGTGATGATATAATCAAGACAAACCCAGCCTTGCAGTGTTTAAGCTGTTACGATTTTTCCTCATTTTTTCTCTTTTGTTGAAAATAGTTTCATTATTCGGGTTTGCATTTCTTAGTCATTGACAAGGTAAAACTTTCCCCCATGAGTTAATACATCTGTTTATTCTTATATGAATTGTCTGTTCCATGGTCTTTGTTTCTGTTAGGATTTTACATCTTGCATAAGCTCACAGCTCCTTGTGATCAATCGTACTGATTATATACTTTTTTAGTATATTATTTTACCTCTTATGTGGAGTTTGATTTCTCAGCACACAGAAAGTCCTGAAATTCTTCAGAATACTGCATTTATGGCCATTCTTGGTGGATTTTTTTTTTTTTAATTATATAATTGAGCACCGGCCTGTGAACTAAGAGGTTGCCAGTTCAATACCCAGTCAGGGCACATGCCTGGGTTGTGGGCCAGGTCCCCAGTAGGGGGCGCGCAAGAGGCAACTACACATTGATGTTTCTCTTCCCCTCTTCCTCCTTTCCCTTCTCTCTGAAAATAAATAAAATCTTAAAAAATATTATGTAATTGCTTTTATTTGCTAAAATATTTGTAAATAAATTTATAAATGCAGATATTTACATTTGTGGCAGAGTGATAGTTTACAAGGGATTTTTGCATGTGTTACTCCAGCAACTGCCTCCCTGGATATTCACAATGTTCCCTTTCTGTCCTTCCAGCCACCCAACAGGAGGATCCTTTATTCGTCCGAACAAAGTAAACTTTGGAGTAGACTTCCTTACTGCAGTTAAGAACCGCTACGTGTTAGAAGATGGACCAGAGGAGGAAGGAAAAGAGCACATTGTTAAAATTGCAAATAGACCCGTGGAAACTATCGGTTTTGACTCTATTATAAAACAGCAAAGGTAAGCGGAGCTGACTGCGCAAGAGCGGGCTCTCCCGGCCCGACCGGGCTGAGGGGAGCGCGCTCGCCCAGCCTGCGGGCGCCCAGGGCCTCCCCGCCTCCCTGGCCCGCGCTTTCTGCACAAACAGCAAATTGAAATTGCAGGAGTCTAAGGATCGAGTACTCAGAGAAATTAAAACCCTCACTTCAGCTCTGGGCTGCTGGACTTTTCTAGATTAGAATTAACAGATTAATTTGCCCATTATTACTGCTCATACTATCCTATCTTATATCGACTAATTATTAAGTAACTGAAGTCAACACTCTGGTCCTCTCATATTTTGTGGTGACATTTCTATCTGGTTGATGTACAAAATGGAGACAGACGTGTACATGGTTACTGCCACATAAGCTGCACACCCTTGTCACCTGAACCCCACCCCAGACCTGCTGAGTCAGAACACCCTGGGCTCTTCTTTTTGAGCACCCCAAATTATTATGTCGCCGTTTGATGGCATGCAATAATGCATTTTAAAACTGCCCAGTCCTGTCTCTGTTCTCTGACACCTGCACACCGATTCGCTGTGGAAGCCCTGGTTCATTCTCATGGGCGGTCTGCACCAGGGAGAGTGAAAGCTGATGTTCACACAAAAACTCAGCAGCCCAGGAACCTTCCAGGTTATGCAGGGTTAGCGATGGTCATGGTCGCCCTGTGGTCTGACCTGACCTGGGTGAAGCGTCCTAGTAGTGACCCCTGGTGGCCGCTGAGAAAAGTGGGTTTGCCGCCTCTTGACGCCGGCCGGCAGTCTTACCTTTGTAAAGAAAGTACAGGAGGTAAACTATGGTTTTGTTCAAAGTACAGTTCTTTTGCTGTCTTTTGACTGTTTCTGTTATTATTAAGACTAAGATTTAAAATAATGCAGAGTTTAAAATGTACATAGGGACAATGTGGAAGAATAAATTCATTTCTCGATAGCTCTGCTTTTTAACACAGGTGACCAGCATTTAAAAAAACTCAATAAATCATGTTTTCTAAAAAAGCAACAACTGATTGTTTGTTAATTAATTACAAAACAATATACATCGTTGAAAATTTAGAAAATTGAACAAAAGAAAGTCACAACTAGTGCCACCATCAAGAGAAAACAGTCACAAATGGCTCATTGCCTTATTTTTGCCATTTAAAATACAAATATTTAAGTATCTTTTACCCCAAAAGAGGCCCTTTTTTTTCTTATTGGTTAATCTCTTTCAAAGAATATTGAAGGGAAGCAGGCTGGCGGCAGGCTGGCGGGAGGCTGGGTGCCTGTGCCAGCCGAGCCACTTCCCGGCTGCCGCAAGTTAGAGCTGCTGCTCTAAGCCTCAGCTTCCTCATTTACAAGGTGACGCCTGAGCTGTTAGAGCTGCCGGGAGTGCCCAGCAAGATGGTGCCAAGATGGTGCCTGTCACCAGCAGGGAGAGAAGCCTCGAAGCCACGTGTGGTCCCCTAATGACATTCAGCCGGCCAACTTTGAGTTTGTAGCTCTGAGAAAAGACTTAGAATAAAGGAATCAAAACCGATAAGAGTCCCGGAGGTGGCTTTGGCTGACGTCTGTGTTGACACCGGCTCCCTATGTTTGTCCCCTGTGTTCCTGGCAGGGCAGCGAACTCCCTGGGGCACAGCAGGATATTTTTAAGTGTACAGGGGCACAGTGACATCTGTCGGAGACAGCTCAGACTTGGAGTCTGAGGTCGTTCACAGTGTCGTGACACTCCCACCATGCCTTTCAGTGGCGGCATGTTCCTGCCAAGCCGGGCTGGACGGCGGTGATGAAAGGCTGGTCCCTCCTGACGCTCATCCGGCAGCAGGAAGTGGAGCTGGCGGTGGCCTGTCTGATTCCGGGCGGGGAAGTTGAGTGGCCGGTGCCTGACAGACGCGACGCGGGCAGGACACAAACTGTCTGCTCTCGGAATTGTCTGGCCCCAGCTGCTTACTAAGTGGAATGGTTAGGAATTCTTTTGGCCGAGGAGCACCGTGAAGAAACTGCTGGAACACCAAGGGCCCTGTGAACTGAGAAGGTGTGGAGACCTCTGCCCCAGAACTTGGCTGCGGCGGCTTTTCCCCCGGTTTCTGGCGGCCGTGGGAGCACATGCCTTGCTGCTGCCTCGGTGTCTCCACGGAGGTGTCAGTGCCTGTTTATTTTCACGAGCACTTCCAAAGTGCCTTACTGCACATCAGACAGCATTCTACGAGCTTCGCAAATACTGACTTACTGAGTTACCGTAGCATTTCAAAAAGATGGTACACACGAGCACGGAAGTTACCACCACAACCCTTTTAGGGCCCGTTTTGGCGGCACCAGCGCATCCTCTGGAGACGGGCAGCCGTCGCCACCGCCGTCCACCTGCAGGGCTCTGCCTCTGGCGGGGCGGAGGTCCGCACCCACGGAACACTCCCCCTCCCCCGAAGCCCCCGGTACCCCCCTTCTCCCTTCTGCGCCCATGACTGACCCCTCTAGGGTCTGAGATAAGGGGAGTCGCAGTCTTTGTCCTTTCGTGGCGGGCTGACTTCCCTGAGCACGACGACCTCCACGTCACCCACGTCGCAGCAGGCGTCGGAATTTCCTCCTGCCCGTGGCTGAATAGTCATCTCCCGTTTATCCGCTCCCCCACTGACGGGCACTGGGGCTGCTTCCGCCCCCTGGCTGCTGTGAGCGGCGCCGCTGAGACCTTGGGTGGACGCGCAGCGTTAGGCCGACGTGGACTCTGAGGCGGAGAGGCTCGCTCGCTCGGTGCCGGAGGAGGTGGCGGAACTGGGATTTGAACCCAGGCGGCCGGGCTCCAGGTTCTGTGTTCCAGGCACTGTAACGCACGCGCTCTCTTAATACACAGGAAACAGAGCTGCTCTACACTGAGCAGGGGCTTCTGAGGGTCTCCGGGGAGCCGGAGCTCCATGCGCTCCAGGCTGGGTCCTGGAGAGCCTTTCACGCGTGAGGGCAACACGTGTGTGCTGTTGGGAATCACCTACATGCCAGTGGAGGAGGCAGTGCGGCCGCTGCGGTCTGTTGAGGGAGTAGAAGGCGGCAGGGTGTGAACGCGAACGTTCCAGGGTCCGTGGGCCGCAAGGCTGCGTCACTGCTGAGCAGGGCGCTGTTGGTGGAGAAGGCGCTCTGCAGCAGGGCTCCATTTGTAGTATGTTCATGCTGCGCCAGAAGGGCCGGCCTGTTCAGGGATACGGGAGTAGGTCGGGGACTGTTCGGAAATGCTGAAGATTAAACGAACACCAAATGCAGCATCCTGGCCACCGGTGGGGGCGGGGGAGGGTGTGCCGTGGGAAGGGATGAAGGACTTCGTTCGTCTCCGTCGCGGTTTGTGACGCTTTACTTCCTTTTTTCAGTAATGCTTTATTTCTTAGGTTGGGCGGTAGATACTGGTGTGTGTTATTCTTGCTGCCTTGTCATATATCAGAAGTGCTTTTTAATTTTTTAAAGGGCCAGTGGGAAGTCCACGTTTCCGTAACATGTGAACTATGTGTTTTTCATGCAGCCAGCTGAGCATGTTGCAAGAAATTTCTTTGAGGAACTGCGCAGTAAGTCGTGCTGGTGACAAAGGAGCCATTGCCAAAGCGTGTCCTAGTATCCTTTCAGTGATAATGCGCGGCCAGACCCTACTGAGGTTTGTCTTGTGCAGACACTGCCGGTCGGCCACCCTGTGTCCCTTGTCCCCAGCCTCCTTCCTAACAGCAGCCCAGTGTACCTGGGGCAGCTGCCGCCCAGATAAACTATTCACCTTCCAAGGCCCCTCTGCTCTCGGGTGAGGCAGTGACGTCCCCTGGCCAGTGCGGTGTGAAGTGGCTTCTGGATAGGGCTCCTTGAGAGGGGACCGCCAGGGCTGGCCTTGGCCCCTGCCCCTGCCCCTGCCCAGGGCCCACACCTCCCGCCCGGCCCTCAGTGCAGACAGAGTGCCCGGCCGAGCCGTGAACCTGGCGGCAGGACGGGCCGGGTCAGCAGAGGGCGGAGGAGGAGCCAGTCCTGAGTCTGGGCCAGTGTCCCAGGGCCAGCATGCTGCTCTGGTGGCCTTGTTGTGAGTGAGAAAATAAACTCTTCCCTTCGGTAAGGTTCCCATTTCATGCAGGCGAGTCAGTTCTGTTAAAATACCTCAAAACAGTCTTTACAAGACTTGTTATCTCCTTTTTCTACTGTCTCTTATAAGGGGATCCCCCCAGTGTATTGCTTTATGCCCCAAACTAAAACATAGGTCAGTGTTTTCTTACGGAGCCTGACGACACATGCTTCAGGCCTGTGGCCAACAGGCAAACGCGGGGGTGTCATGTAGATACTCAGGGGACCACCTAATGGGGGACCCATGCAGACGTGGATGCTCCCTCTGCCGTGGGCCGGGGTGCGGGCTGCTGAGCCGCCCTCCTCTGCGTCCCCTGCCTCACCCCCTCTCTTCCTGGTCCCCGTGCGGACCTTCCCGAACGGCGCCGGCTGCGCGCCGGCTCCTTTCCAGCCAGTCCTGGGCGGGATGCCGTGACGTTGATGAGATCCTGCTTTCTCAGTGTTTCATCGGCGCCTGAGGGCCCCCCAGTGCATCAGGGGTCCAAGAGAAGGGCCTTGGGACTGAGGCCACCCTGCGTTTACCCCGGCCCTTGTTCGTCTGGCGAGGCTGCAATGACCAGCTCTCCGTGCCTGTCCCCTCCGGGGCAGAGGAGACTCGCCTGCACCCAGTTCGCAGCAGCACCTGTCGCGGTCCCTCCTCGCTCCTCCCGCCCTGTCTCCTGTGCGGAGCGCCCACCGCACAGGGTTACCCGCCTGCTGCTTGTGTCCAGCCCAGACAGTCCCCTTCCAGACACGCCTCTCTGGCTGCGCATTTGAAACCCCTGCATCTCAGATCTGACACCAGCTCAGCAGCCACCGTGGCCCAGGTCCACTCCCCTCCATGCCCGCCAGCCAGCCCGCCCAGTGGGCTCTGCTTTCCTGCTGGGACCCCAGGCCGGGCACCCTCCAGGGTCCCTGGAGGACCCTGGGCTGGTCCAGGGAGCCCCACACCCCATTCCTGCGCTGTCGCCCCGCCCTGCGGTCTGTGCCTTGCTATAGGAACACAGCGACCTTTGAAAGGCTGGGTCCGGCCGCAGCACCGGCTCTGAGCCCCGCGCCTCCCATTTCAGGCAGAGACCGGCAGACGCCTTAGCGGTCACAGGCCCCTGTGGTCCAGCCTGGTCCCTGCCTCCCGTGTGAGCTCAGGTCCGGCCCGGCCCCTCTGCCTGGGCACACCGATGCTCGCTGTCCCTGTCGTAGGCCAACTGTTGCGGCCTCGGGCCTCTGTGCCAGTCCCTCTGCCCGGATACTCTTCAAGTTGGCACGCGCTCATATCCTTCAGTTCCCTGCTCAAAGGCCACCTTAATGGAGAAGGTGATCTTCCCTGGCCCCGTCTGCGGGTCTCCCACCGCCTTTCCTGCGCCCTGGGCGTGGCTCTGAGCACACGTCTGTCTGGCAGCTGCAGGCGTCTTCTCGCTGTGCACCGTGTCCCCCGCCTGCTGCGGCCCCCAGCGGCCACTTGTGAGACAGATGGAGTGTGAGAGTCCCTTTGGCTGGCCCAGCCCTGCTCTAGGCTTCGCTTCGTCTCTCTGCCCGAGGGTTTCGCTAAGCTGTGTGCCTTCTTGGTGGCACTGCCACCGCTCCCTGCCAGTATTCGGCCCAGGTGCCTTCCTCTCTCTGTCCTGCTGGTTTACGAGCCTCTGACCCCTGTTGCAGGGACAGTGGGTGTCACAGGAGCTGCATCCACTCTGCAGGGGCCCTCAGAAGGCCCAGATCGGCTTCGCCCTCCTGAGCATTGTCTGAGCTAACCCCTGTCACCTCCCAGTGAGCTGGGGGGCCTGCGGTGCAGAGCGTACGGGGGAGCCATCAGAGAAGGGGCGAGGGCTCCGTGCGCGTGGCTGCCGCTGCCGACACGGCTGGGGCGGGGCCGGGGTAGGTGCTCATCAGTCGCAGGCACCGGCACTGGTCTTCGGTCGGACACCGTGGGGCTGGTGGGGCGATGGCCCTGGCTCTCCTTCGATCGTGGATGCTGGCCTCTGGTTTACAGCCGGACAGCCTTTCAGTTTCTGAATGAACAGTTGGGTGATTGAAAATGTAAAAGCGATGGGTGCAGACCAGAGGGCACAGAGTGACCAAGATCCGGGCTCCCGAGTCAGAGGCACCTGCTGCTGTGTCTCCCATGAATCTTTTCGTATTGCTGTTTCTTAACATGTGCTTTGAGATGTTAGAGAAGTAGATTTGTCAGTGAACCTGCTGTCAGCCTGGGGCGACGTCGTGGGTATTGCAGCTCAGCTCAGACACCTGGAAGTCCTCAACCTCAGGTAGGCGCTCTGGGCGGCCCGGTAACCGCCCTGACTCCCACCTCGCCTCGCCGCCTCCGGGCAGCTTGGCGGGGAGAGGGGGGACGGATGCCTTGGCTGGATTTATCTGAACTTAAAAATTTCTCTTTAACTTCTTCCCTATTTTTTGATTATCAGTTTCCAAACGGCCACGGGGTGATTTCATTATTTGGGAACGTGCTTTACTTTTGACGGGCGGGTTTGAGGCTCTGAGCCGGCAGATCGCACTCCTGACCTCCTGACGGTGGGGGTGAGGGACACCGTCTGGTCGCTGGTGTCGAACTGGGGAGAAGCGCTGGTTCTTCCCGAAGCTTCTGGCGTTTAATTGCCTCAGGAATGAGCAATTTCATTGGAGTCGTTTAATTCAGTTCTGATAAGGACTTTTCACTACCCTCTGTATGTTACTAATGTCAGCTTTCCAGGCCTTCTCCAGTATTTAATTAGTTTTAATCTCAGAACCTAACTCCCCAGGAGCTCAGCCAGGCTCCCCTTTGGTGCCTGAGCCGACGTCACATGTCCAGGTGAGCCGTACCCGGCCCGCTGGCCAGGCCTGAATTTGCCGTGAGCCCACATGCAGCAGAGGGCGGAATCTGACCCATGGTGTCTTCTCTCCTGAAAACACGGGCTAACATGTTAATGTTTGTTCACGTGTCATCCTTTCAGAAAGACTGCACAGACTGAGTACGGTCTGGGGTTAGGATCTTGAGAACTTGAAGGACTTGGTAGCAAAAGGGCAGACCTTTTAAGGAGCAAAAATCTAGACCACGACCCAGCCTCTTGGTGAGACCCAAGGTGGACGTTCAGTTCAAAGCGGCCAGAGCGCACCTTGTGGGGCGGGGCTGCCTGGCGGGTGCCTGGGCGTTTCAGGGACCCGCAGCCGCTCCCGGCGCCCGACCCTGCGGAACCTGTGCATGTCAGGGACCCAGAGATTGAAGATTGAAAACCTAACAATTAGGTAGTCTTGACTCGCTTTGTTTTCGATAGAACTTTAAGGTTGAAATAACCAAACTGTTGCCTTCCGCAACTGCCTCAGCCGGGCCAGCTTGCAGCAGGGAGCGAGTCGCAGCTGCTCTTTCTCCCCAGGGACAATAAGCTGAGGTTCCCCCCTGGCGCACCGTCTCCCGCCGGAGTGTTTCCTGCACTGAAGGTTCTAGTCCTCAGCCGGACAGGAGTAACGTGGGCCGAGGTAATCCTCTTTCTTTGGTTTATGACCCGGTAATAAGCACTTTAAAATTATTGGTTTAATAGGGAATTGAAGCGTAACTGTGGCCTCATTTCAGTCATCTGTTACCCAAACAACAGGCTTTGTTAACTGCCAGTCACAGCGGTGAGGCAGGATTTTGTGTCTGAGAATCCGCGCCCTCTCGGCTCATTCTGACCCGCTGTGGTGTCTCTGGGGACAGCAGCCCGCACTGCTGTGCAGTCCATGTGCGGAGCCTTGAAAGCTGTGCGTCAGGTGCTGACGGACCTTTTAGCGACTTGAGTTTTCTACACGTGTTCTCAGGGCAGTGGAGGGAGCGGTGGAACGTTCTCGCATCCTTTTCTTGCTTCAAGTTTGGCTCTAGAGTCCCCTGCTCAGGGTGTGCAGCGGGGGTGGGGGGGGGCCTGGGGGCCTGGGCGCGCCGGCCTCCGTGCCTGGTGCTGCTGTGCGGTCAGGGCTTAGGGGCCTCCGCACCCGGAGTGGCCCAGCGCCACACAGGCGCGGCGCTCACTTGTGGGCTCCCCCTTAGAGGTGTCCCCTGGAGCAGCGGCCACAGCCACAGTGCTCCCTCCCGGGCCCCTCCCGCGACCCTCCCGCGACTCCCTCCCAGGGTTAGATGTAGCATTAGTGCAGGAGGGCCCATAGCAATGCAGGTGGGGGAGAGGGCAGTGAAGTTCAAGTGAGGAAATTTAGAAAGTTACTGACAAATTTTGACTGATTAGCATATTCTTTACAAACTCCGATTGGCATCTGAATTGAGGGAAGATGTTCCACTTCCCTTTCCGTCCTCCCGGGAAGGGAGCCGTGTCAGCAAGGGGGTGGTGCGCCGAGGGAGGCCCGGCGGCGCCTGGGGCGCCTTCAGCCGCTGCCGGGAGGCCTCGGCCCTGCAGAGCGTTGGTTTGGGGCCGAGATGCCTTCCTTAGCATTAAAATGCGGCCGCTACCATTTTCATCCGGCCGGAAATATGGTCTTCAGTGGAATGTCTTAGTAGGGCGCTTTATTTCTGAAACAGCGACTAAACTGGATTCACGTGCAGGTTATAGAAATAAACACACGGGAACCACCTGCGCAGGCCGCCTGCCCTGACTTGCTTTCCCTCCCAGGTGCTCCGGTGCGCTGTGGGGTGGCCGGTCCTTGAGGAGCTCTACCTGGAGTCCAACGGCGCCACCATCTCAGAAAGGTAGCCTTGCTCGGAGGGAACGATCTCCGCGATACCTGTTAATTTTTAGAAAGCCTTGCGTACAAAAATTAGAAAAATGCTTATTTGTTGCCTTGCAGATTAGAATGTCAACTAAAATTTCACTATTAATTGAGGAAAAACCCATTATGGTGAAAGCCCAGAGTTAAATATTTTTGAAGACACGAATTTTATGTTTTACATAAATATATTTACTCCTCTGTCTAAAGAATTCTGTAGGATTTGCTCTAAGGATTAAGTGATGCATTTGTAATTAGCACCATCTGTTTCAGGTTGGTGTACCTTAATTAAATTTGTCTTATCTTCCTCTTTTATTGATATCATTAAATTACTATGTAAAATAAACTTAAACGTGGACAACTTTACAACAAATTCTCAAAAGATTTAAATTAACAAAATTTTACTGTACAGAATAATTTCATTTATTATACAGGCAGATTTTTAAAAATGAAACTTTTTGAGATAATTTTAGATTCACATGCAGTCATACCTGTGACCAGTGCCCCGACTGGCAGTGTCTGGCACAGCTGTGGTGCAGGTGCTGGTCCCATGAAGATGCAGAGAGTCCCTGTCACAAGGGTCCCTCTCGTTGCCCTTTTATAGTCACACTCACGTGCCACCCATCCCCAAACTCTCCTTAACAGACGTAGGTATTTTAAAGCTGTATGTTTGAAAACAATGAAGAGATTAAATTCATGTTGAAAAATTTTATTTTCCATTTAGGCCGGCCGACGTTCTACAGATGGTCAAGTTATTGGACCTTTCCCATAATCAGTTAATTGATGAAAATCAGCTGTTTCTAATAGCGTATCTGCCCAGGTAATTTGCTCATAAAATTTTTAGTGAATGGGTTGTATTCTGTATGTATATTTGCAATGGAAATAAAATAATGGTGATGGAATTCCCAAATGGAGTCATTCTCTTTGGGATATTTTTATCTGAATTCATTTAGGGAGTTTACTTGTGAGGCCACATACAGTGCGATCTACATCTGCACTAAATAATTGAAGAATGAAGAATTTGGTGCTAAAGTCTTCATTCATTAGACTCTGGGAAGGTCATGCCTCTTTCTTCTTTGAGACACACTTAACACCCCGCACAGCAGTGGGCACCTAGCACGGCTAGGTCGCCGTGGAGTCATGAGAACGTCACTTGCATGCCCTAAATTGGACTTCGTGGTTGGTTTTTAAGCATTTCACCTGGGATGAAATCCTTAAGGTGTAACAAAAAATTTACAAATGTAATCTGGCTGATAGCCCACAGCATTTGGTATTGTTCTGTGCAATCAGATTGAACATTTGTAATTTCAGATTAGAACAACTAATTCTTTCTAACACTGGGATTTCTTCTCTACATTTCCCGGATGCTGGGATTGGTATGTAAGATTATTATAGTCTCTTGCTCTGTATGCCACACTTTAGCTATTTCTTTCACTTCTACTTGGTAACTAATTCTCCTTTTTCTAGGGTGCAAGACGTCAATGTTTCCTTCTTTGCAAAACCTTGTAGTCAACGACAACCAGATATCGCAAGTAAGAACTCCTTCAGAACGTGCGGGCCGCGTGGCCGCTGCTTTCCACCCTCATGCCAGAGTATGTAGGCTCCTTTCAAGAAAAAAATATTTTGAATTTTCCGAAAGAAAAATGCTTCCTCAGGTGAAACTCATTTTATAAACCCAAAAGTATTAAAGAAATTGGTTTTAACTCCCACGTAAGCAGACGCCCACCCTCAGCCCGGCGGGAATGCTCAGTGGGATGGATTCCTGGCCCTCAGACTGCACTGGAGGCTTTGCTTCTCTGTTGCTAGTCCCCGTAATCTGAAGAATTAGCCTGAAACGTGTTTCTTTTGTTGGGGTTCAGTGGTCATCCATCAACGAGCTGGATAAGTTGCAGAGCCTGCGCTCCTTGTCCTGCCGCAGAAACCCCCTGACTGAGGGAAGCGGAGCGCAGGCCGCCTACCAGTTCATCATCGCCAAGATCGGCCAGCTGCACACCCTGAACAAGTGTCAGGTGACTGCCGGGCCGGGACTGGGTGTTTTTCTAGACTTGGGAACAAATGATCAAAAAACGCAAACAGTCCGTTTGCATATTGTAGAGGGTGTCAGGTGTGGTTTCCCTCTAAGTGGTAATAAAGGAGCATCCTGTGCGTTTTAGTGACAGTGGCAGTAGACTGAGCAGGGCGGCAGGTCCCTGCCGCGCTGGCCCATCCTGTGTCACGCAAGGAGGGGGAGGAGCGCGGGCGCTTCCCTCCTTTCTCCGGGGGAAGGTGGGCAGCAAGAGGACGCGCCAGGAGCCTGTGTGTCCTCCCCTCCGCAGCCACTCTTAGAAACGGGCACGCGGTGCCTCGCCCGACCCCGGGGCTGCTGGCCGGAGGTCCGCGCCCCCCGCGGTGCGCTCGGCGGTGCGCTCGGCGGCGGGCTGACCGCGCGTGGGTGACCTCAGGCGCCGGGCATGCGCCAGAAGCCAGCGCATGGGCCAATACTCCCATGAAGAAGAGTAGAAAACTGAAATTTTTTTCTTTTTGAATAAATTCCTGTACTCTGTCAAAATTAAAAAGGGTAAAAATAGGGCTATCGTCTCGTCCCTCTCAGTTTGATTGTCTCTGTAGGTGGGCAGTGGGGAAGAACAGGGCACAAAACACTCGTTAGAAAAGTGCCCCAATAGACTTGTTTGTACTTCCCGTCGACAGATTCTCCCCGAGGAGAGGCGTGGAGCCGAGCTGGAATACAGAAAAGCCTTTGGAAACGAGTGGAAAAAGGCGGGTGGACATCAGGATCCAGACAAGAACAGGCCGAGCGAGGAGTTCCTGGCAGCCCACCCGAGATACACGGCGCTCTGCCTCAGTGCGTCCCTGCGCCCTCCCGGGGTCCCGGCGCCCTCCCGGGGCGCCAGCCAGGGCCGCGGCCGGCCTTCTCTTCTCTTGAACCGTAGCGGGCACTGGGCGCTTTCCTGGGCACCGCCGCGAGTCGGGAGCAGATGTAAACCGTCCGTCCGTCCGTCCGGAGAGAAGGAGACCCGGCGGAAGGAGCCTGGGCTGGGGGAGGGGAGCAGCCCTTGACCGGAAGTTCTGCGCGGTGCGGGGTGGGGACAGGGCAGGCAGCGCCCTGTGTAGCCCGGCGGATTTGAAGCTTGGAGCACCCGCGCACGGGCAGGCTCAGAGCCGGTGCAGCGAGCGCTTCTGGCTCTTGGATGCCAGGGGCGTCCTCACTCCCCAGCCGGGCCCTCAGGCCCCTGTCCCTGAGGTCAGTCCACTCTGTAGGTCAGCCTGACTTCATCATTATTCCAAATTACACTTTTGCGTAATTTTCTTTTTTATGCATTTCCTAATGTGAGCTCACGCATAAATGCTTCAGGCTGGAACATTATCTTTGAGGAAGCAAAGCTGCCCGTGGGAGCTGCTCTCAAGTCCCTCCATGAGCTGACCCAATTTCTGGCCGCTTGCAGTGACCCCGACATTGCCCTGGGGTGCGGAGGGAAGGGGCTCAGCTGCCCCCGCGGGTGTGGCTCAGTGCTTCACTGCTAAGAACGCTGTGGGACCCAAGCACAGACCTTGGGGGCATTTATGAAGATTCTGTCACCAGCTGGCCCAGCAGAACTGGAGCGTTAGAGGACTGCCGTCCTCACACCCTTTGGTACAGTGAGGCTGCTTTTCGGGGAGGAGGCCCACCCTGGCACTGCAAGATCTGGCTGAAACCGGGGGAAGGTGTCCGTGAGTTGTGTCCCATGTAGCACAATACTAGTTTCTGTCTCAAGACTAGAAAGAAAGGGGAATGTTAACATGGGTGAAAGGGACTACAATTAAGGCTTAAGTGTTTGGAAGCACAGCATCATCTTGCTAGTTCGAGTCAGGACGCTGTCTCTAAGGACCAGTGATATCATACACAGGTGACGGAGGACTGCTGCCCATCCCTCCTCGCAGTAAACAAGCGGCAAAAGCAAGCAGACCCCACGTTAGCCCACCAGCTGCTGCTGGGCTGATCCTGTGTGGACACTCACCTATCCTTTTCTTTTTTCCTTACGGAGGCCTTTGGTTTATCATTCATTGTTTTTTATTTCTCAAATAGAATATGGTGCACCTGAAGACGGGGAACTCAAAACACAACAACCGTGTCTGCTCAAAAATCAGCTACTAAGTAAGAACCCCAAACTCAAAGACAGCTTACTTGCATTTGAGTCCTGAGGTGCTAAAACAGATAAGTGACAACCTAGTAGGAATTGTTTCTCTTTAAGTACCTAAATGGGTGTCTCAATTTTTAAAGAAATGGTACATTCTCTAACGTGTAAATTCTTATATTGGACATTTTAGCAACTCCCATGCTTTCATTTAATATAAATGTGGCAAGTATTTGAGCAGAGAACTGAATTGTGATTTGAAGTCTGTGACTTTTCTTACACTTGAAAACCTAGGGAAATTGTCAGGGAAAAGGGAAAGCAACAGAATGTTGGTCAGCCATTTCGTCGTCAGTAATCAGTGAAGTCTAATGGAAGGAATTTTAAACACCAGTAAGAGCGATTCCGGGATCAGGCTTTGCCTAGGTTGCACTGAACAGCTCTTACCATTTGGCAATCTTATTGCTGTGTGTGTGTAATTTAGATCCTTACTATAGCAGGTCTGTCTTTGTCTTTTGTTTCTTCAAGCACTGAAGATAAAATATCCTAACCATCTTGATCAGAAAGTCCTAGAGAAACAACTACCAGGTAAGAAGAATGAGTTTCCCCTTCTCACGCCTTGGGTTGGTCTGATGCGCAACAGTTCCCTCATGTCTGAAAGTGTGGCCTTGTGGAGCTTGCCAGTTGTCACTAGTCTTTTAGATTCTAAAATGGAATTGATCATGCTAATACCACTCCCCTGAAAGTTCACGCCCCCATGGCTTTATCAGCTTGCACCCTGAAACCCCTTTCCTGGGACGAAGGCCCTGCATGTGGTCGCACGTTTCGCTGCAGGCAGGACTCTCCCACGCCTGCTGCTGCTGCTGAGCTCTCCTCTCCGATGGCTGCTTGGGGGGCTCTTCTTGGCTCGGAGATTGTTACCCTGGACAGGGAGTCACAGCCCCCTCACCAAACAGAAATGACGTCCTAGTGAGCTGAGGTGGGAGTTACTTGGACACTTGTGACTCTTGAATATCCTGCTCCCCACCAGTCAGTCAGGAGCAGAAACAGTTCTTAGATGCTGTCTTTTAATGGACACACTGAGATGGTTTTCTTTGAAAAAACTACTTCAGAGCTTGAAACATCTGTGCTACTGGAACTGCATTAGTTTTATTTGGAAGGTACTTTTGTGCAACAAATTAGATCAATGCGACTTACCTTAAACTTTCACTCAAAAGAAAAATTAAATTACACTCTGAGTATACAGTGAATTCTCAATATTAAACTTGATTACGGGTTAAACGTAGAGCAGTGAGGAATTGAAGAAATGAAGTATATATCACCCTAAGTGACTCCAGTAAAATAGTGTTGTTTGCCCATCAGTGCATTAAACACACTGATTTTTAAATTAGTCTTTATAAATAAGCGTATCCTGGCACTGCTTGTGGGAGGCTCTGGTTGCTGACCTTCATCTGGGGTCCACGAGCAGCGTGGCCCCGCTGCTGTTTGCAGCGGTCCAGCGTCCGTTCCTGGGGAACATCATTCAGCTACTGTTCTATAATGATGAATCAAAATTACTGGTTCCTTCTTCACTCTTGTTTTCAAACTTAAATACTGTCAGTAAAGGGCCCTGGTCAGTGTGGCTCAGTTGGTTGGCGTGTCATCCTGTAAACTGAAAGGTTGTGGGTTTGATTCCCGGTCGGGGCACCTACAGGAGGCAACCAATTGATGTTTCTCACATCGACGCTTCTCTTTCTCTTTCTCCCTCTCGCTTCCTCTCTAAGCAATGGAAAAAGTGCCCCTGAGTGAGGATTTAATAAAAAATACCATCAGCAAAGGCACTCTTGGAGACAGACAAGTGAAGGCAGGCCTGAATTTTGTTAATGTAATTGGCTTTGGATGTTTCGCATTTTCCCTTTTACTCTTCAGATACACGGAACCAATCTGTGGGAATTGCTCACGCATGCTCTCAGTAGGCCTGAGCTAAGCACTCCTTGGCGGGGGTGTCACTAAGGTCCCTCAGTCGAGGACTGATGGTGGTGTGGACGTGGTCCTGGGCTGCCGGCAGCAGTGACCCTCACCCTCTCCCCTTGCACACTGTACACCCGACAGCAGTGCTTCTGGGAGTCAGGTCCCACTGCGCTCATGCTGAGTTTCATTAACATTCAGGTGGAACCAGCAGGGATTAGAATTATCCATAGAAATCATACGTCTTAATTACTGCTTTAAGCTATTCAGAATCTGAGTCCTGTAGTCTCTAAACTCAGCAGTAAGCCAGCACACTGAAACAGTTTCTACTAATTTTTATGACACAGGCTGTAAATATCTAGCCACTAACAAATATATAAATATCCTTTAAAGAGAAAACTGATAAAATACTGGAACTTTTTTTTTGCCAATCAGATTAGCAAATTATTAAAAACTAACATGCAGAGTTGGCATCAAAAATCAGTATATACTTTCTAAAGTCAGGTGGAAATTAGTATAAAAAATTAAAAATACGTATAATTAATTAAAAATTAATTAAAAAATTAAAAATCAGACCTAGCATTCAACCTTGTGGCACTTGCAACGGTAAAAGTAAAACCAGTGTTCAGGGGAGACGGCGGACGGTTCCTGGCAGGACCACACGGCATGGTATCCAGTGCCTACAAAGGGAATGAAGCGAGCCCAGCGCTGCACTGTCTGGGGGCGCTGCCGATGGCCAGCGCAGGTGTAGAGGGCCGCGTATGGGCGGTGTGCTGCTGTGTAACAAGCCAAGGTGCGACCGCTGCGTATTATGAAACTCTGCATCCTTATGTCAACGGGAAAAAGCCTGGACGTATCCCCAAACTTTCAACTCTTCTCATAGGGAGGCAAAAAGGTAGTCGCTCAGTTTGACATTTTCTGAATGTTACAGTAGTTGTGTTACTATTAAAAATAGTAATGTTATTGAGAACTAGTACATGCAAACTGCCACTTTCTTCCGCAGACACAGTGCAGGTAGGCAGGTTTCGTACTAGAATCGTGTCATGGCCGCTTTGTTTCTGGCGTGGCGTAGGAGGCTCGCCTTTCGTGTGCTGTGCGTGACTTACCCCTCCCTGCCACCCCCTGAGTGCAGTCCACCCAGATTTTCTGAAGGGGCAAGATTATCTGAGCAAATTATGCTAATTAAAATAATAAATATCTATTTTCTATTCAACACATAAACTTAAGGCATTTTTTTCTAAAATAGAGAACATTTATTATTACAAGTTGCATAAAAACACAGACAGCTTTTACAAAATGATTTTTGATAGAAAAATATTTGACTCCATGTGATATTTGTAGGAACACCACACTATTGCTGTACCTCCCGCTAAAGCTTCAAAGAAACTATATTTCTCATAATTAAAATAGCCAACATTTACCACAGCTCATCTTTGGAGAAAAGTTCATAGTGTTTTCTGAACAGACCGAAGCATTTACTCATTAACTTATATTCCCATGCTTGATGGTCACCAGCACGCATGTCAGACACAATGACACGTTGTAGTGACTGCCGGCTGTTTGCGCTGGAAGGGACCTGGTAGACCATGTAGTTTACCTCGCTCTTGACCAGGAGAAACTAAGGCCAGAGGGCTTGAGAGCCCTACTCCGTGGTCTTGTAGTGAAGTCAGAAGTAATCAAAGATTTAAAAAGAGCAGTTAATGACTTTACTCGCATTTATTCCTCTGTGCAGAGACTGTGATTTGGGTTTATTGGATTAAGGAGGAAGTACCCGCCACCACCGAAATGGTGTGACAACGCACGGTCAAAGGGCACTTAGGGCAAACCTGGCACCGTTTCCCAGGGACTCGAATCAAGTGCCGTGCAGTGTGGTCCATGTGCTTCTGCCCACTCGTTTGCGCAGGGAGCTCGGCACTGAAGGGACAGTTTCCATTGTCACTGCAGCTGTGGTCTTGTACTCTGATCTAGTTTGACAGTGAACTCTCATTTGAGAGACCTGATGGTTTTTCTTTTCTCTGACAGACTCCATGACAATTCATAAGGTGAAAGGACTGCTGTCACGTCTTCTCAAAGTTCCTGTGTCAGACCTTCTGTTGTCCTACGAGAGTCCCAAAGTAAGTTGCCCGGGAAGACAGTCAAGCTTAGCTCCCACAGCGTGATGTGCTATTAATCCAAGTCCCTACAGAACGGATTCTAAATGGAGACCACACGTCTGCTTTGGGGGAGGGCACATAACATGCTTTGCCATATCTGCCTTAATTGCCTTCAACCCTTTGTTCTAATTTTAGATGCCGGGCAGAGAGATTGAACTAGAAAATGACCAACAGTCATTACAGTTTTACTCTGTAGAGAGTGGAGATTGTCTGTTAGCGCGATGGTGACGGCCAACTAATGAAGCTCGGAGACTAGACTGTTATTGTGACTGGGGTTCACTCAAAATAAATGGTTTATTGGAATAACTTCTACTTTCAAAGGAAAAAAAGGTTTTATAACTTGCTCTAAGTATAGAAAAGGTGGTACTTTTCATTAGGAAGAGACCATTTCTAGGCTTGTATATAATAGTAATAATAAAGGCTTTGTACCTGCTAACGTTTTTCTGATTTTATTTCGTATTTCTAGTTCATGACTACATTTTTTTATGTGATGATTTCAATATTAAATAAAACCTAGCTCGTCTAATAAAACCTGAACACAGTTACTGTCTCTCACTAGACCAGTTTCCATGGGATTCTCTATTGATACTACGAGTTGAGAAGGTTACAATGATTTGGTCGGCCATTTAGGGAGACACGCCCTCCACTGTGCACACCGTACATGCTGCGACCTCTCTCAGTTGCACTGTTTACAGTGCTTAGAGAAATTACATGCTTTCCCCGACAGCTGTGTCGAAACTGAGCCTCCAGCTGTCTACACAAGATGACTAGCACCGGCTGAAATCCACCTGCAGCAGGCAAACCTTAGGTGCTGTCACTGCAGGAGGAAAGTGAAATTCTTTCAAAGTGTCAGCTATTCAGAAATGTCCTCCCCTATGGCACTAAAACCCTGAGAAGTATTTGATTTTATTTATATTCACAAAAACTTAGCATTTTTAAATAGGAGTACTAAATTGTGACTTTTAGGATTTATGTGAAATGGCAAAAGAAAACGTGCATTAGTCCACTAAATATTAAAAGAACTTTAAAACCAAGGTCCAGAACTGAGAATTAAATTGGTTGTTTTCCAAGTTTAAGCTGCCCGCTTCATTCAGACATCCACAGGAAGTGACATTATTTCCAGAAACCCCAGACTTTGGTATGAGTGACCGCTGCGCACGGGCGGTCGCACGGGCGGTCACACGGTCGCAGCACCGCTGTGGGGTGGTTTTGGCCCACATTAACCACCATAATTACGCTGCATGAAGCCGTTCTGCAATGCAGGATGAAATCCCAACTTTGTTACTAAAGATTTCTGAACAAACCAAATTTTAACCAAAACTGATAGGTAATGAATTCTAACTGGAAATGATGCATCAGGATTTAGAAATATTTTTTTCTTTTATAAACTATTTGGTGTTTTTCAAATCTTTGAATACATAAATTTTTCATATGCTACAGCATCAGGGTTGGTTTTTAAAGGAAAACCTGTGCAAACATTAAGAACGACCACACTGGTTATGGGGGTGCCAGCCTAGAGCGCTCCGGAGACCACGCGGTCACTGCCGAACCGCGGCTTTCCCTGGATCCACGCGCAGGTCGTCACCGCCTCCCCTGACCTTTAACCGCCGCGCCTTAAAATCATCGCCGTCGTGCTCCGCACTGGCAAGGGTCGCCGCACAGCTCCTTCAGTCTCCAGAGGTCGGTCAGTTCCCGTGCAGAGTACTGCGGGGACGACAGCATTCCCGTCTCACAGGTCTTCTCACACAGCCACAGGCTGTCCTGGTGGAAAAGAGAAAGGCTCGCTGGGCCGCTGTGACATTAGCTGCTGCCTGAGAGAGACAGAGAGCTCGCGCCAGGCTTCTTACCCAAACCAGTGAGGCTGGAACTGTTGCCAAGACAGCTCGGTGTGTGACCCACTGGGTGTGTGTGGGGCGTGGGAAAGCGCCCCCTGCGGTGGCCCCGTGGCCAAGGAATACAGAAACAGTGCGGCGTGTGCATTAACAGTCAGCAAAGGGCCTGCTGGGAAGGTGAGGCCTGGAGCCCAGGGGTGGGAAGTTTCATGTTTGCCACTAGAGCGCCGGGGCTGCTCAGCAGTGTGGATGCTGGCAGCTTCCTGATGGGACGTGTTCCAGGAACTGTACCCAGAGCTTTGTAAACGTTACCTAATTTAACCCTAAACAGTTGCTACTCCATAGGGATGTTAATTCCCACAACATCCCACAACATCCCACAGCAAGGACCTCAGGACTCCAGCACTAATGGTAAGTTAACTTAACATCCCTGTGGAGTAGCAACTGTTTCCCTTTTACCAATGAAAACCTGGCACTAAGAGCAGACCTTGCTCAAGGTCACAGAGAAGTTCATGTAGGTGAGCAGCACTGAGCAGGAAGGATTCCAGGCGGGCCCACCAGCCTACTTCCAGCTGCAGAGACCCAGGACTCACCTAGGACTCGCCTCTTCCCAGCCTTAGAGCAGAACATAGACCTGGGGCAACCCCTTCAAACAGAGACCGTGAAAATGCTGGCTACAGCCCCAGGCATCTTTGTGATGGGGGCTGACCTGGTCCTAGAGGAGGGACCGGTGTCGGCGCTGGCCTGGGCCTGAAGCGCTGCGGGGTTAGAAGGCCTGGAGACCGACCGGAGCCCCCCAGCCAGCCAGGATGCCTGTGGAGCCAGAGCCTGGGGGTAGGTAGCAAGGAAACAGAACTGTATGAAGGAGCCTGTGCGTCTTACCCCGGCCCTGGGTGGGTGGGTGGGATGGGGAGAGGTCTCCCCTGAGCATCAGGAACTGGAGCCCACACTCGGGTGTCTGGGTGAGTCCCACAAGTCCCATGTCAGAAACTGGAGGCGCTCATAAGTGGTGAGGCCCTTAGGCATGGCAGAAAAGATACAAATCCTCTCTGCAGGATGCATTTCACATTCACACCCGAGTCCCCAAGCAACATGAGGTCACAGCAAAAAAGCCTCTGAACACATCAGGAAACAAGCTCCATAGCAACAGTCTGCAGACGTCATAAACTAGAGTCAGACCTGCAGACACCAGATACCAGGATGATCAGATAAAGAAAGAAAATCGTTAAGAGTCGATGTGAAATAAATCAAAGATGGGACTAACACTGCCAAAGAAAATGGGATCAGCGAAGCTGACCGAGTGGACTGGGTTTATTCCCGCCCCACCGCGGCACAGAGCACTGCTCTGGGACCCTGGCGCTACGTGGGGCTCCTCTGCCCCCTGCACCTTCTGTGGCCAGAGTGGAAGCTGCAGGAATCCAGAATCCAACTGAAATCTTTGTGGCAAAGACCAGCTCTGTGCTGGCCTTCTGGGGCTGTGTTTTCCATGTCTGGTCTATGCAGATTCGGTTCTTGTTTTTCTAGCTCAGTGACCAGTGTGTTTTACGAGATGCCTTACCATATTTTATCTGACATTTCATTTGCATCGGTCAGACCTCCCACTACTGGAAATGTATGCCAGCTAATTCTTTAAGTTTTAAAGCGGCAAAGGATTTCTGATAAAAACCTAATTCTTTGTGGGCAGGAGAACTTCCATTGAAAACATTTCTGTGTGGTTTCCACTCAGGAAAACATTGTGTGAGGACCCAGGGGGAGCACTGTGAGTGAAAATCGGGAGCACAGCTACGAGCTAGGAGACCTTCAGGTCGCTGTGCCCGCCCCTGTCTGCTCCAGGAGCCCCACTCCCTCAGCTCCCCCGGCCGCCCCGCTCAGGCCTGCTTACCTGGTGTCGTTTGGGTCCTATGGCCGCCATCCATATGCCCATGCTTACATCTTCACCCTGGTCCGACAGCACAAGGTTGAAACGCACCAGTTTAACCGCTCTACCATCTGTAGATAGTGCCGTGCCCCTTCTGATAATAAATTGTTTTTCTGCCTCTCTGTTTTGTTATCTATATAATACGAAATCCAGCCATGTATTAACACTGACACAGAGTAAAAGCTAGTGGCTGTTAACATGAAGACGACACAGCCCACAACAAGGACCTCAGGACTATAGCACTAATGGTACAAAACCTGGCACAGCTATTCGCTGACATGGTCCCCAGTGTCACCAAGAAGGAAGCACTTGCTTATCATCTTCCTTCTTCCAAGTATCAATTTTACACTCATCCAGGGGACTAGTAAATATACACTGAAAATATTGTAAGTAGGCCCAAAAAAGGTTCAGGAGTAGAGTTTAGAGTCAAATGTGAGGGAGTGATTCCTATACAAACAGAAGAAAAGGCTCCGGCCCTGCTTTCCGGGGTGGGGCGCTGGGCTGGGTGAAGCTCCGTGTGAAGGGTCCACCCCTAGGCCAGAGAGTCGTAATTACCCACCTGATAGGTCTTCAACCTCCCCGCGTTGCTGGCCAGCCAGTGGACGATGTCCCTGGACACCACATACCCCGACCCGCACGCGAAGGCAGGGTACGCGGGGCTGGGGTACTCCAGCTCCTGCCACTTCCCCGTCCGGTCCACCGCCCAATTCCACCTGAAACTGAGGCGTACAGTGAGCGGGCGCCTTCCTGTTGCCCGACCCGCCTCCTTCCAACTTTATTATCACCACAAAGTAACAGCGGCAAGGAAAGAAGAATGAGAATTTTTTCATTTATCTAAGGTATTTTATATAAAAGACCAGTATATTTAAATTCTCTCCAAGGTGCATTTGTGGAGCTTCAGAATGTAAAGCACCACACCATGTTGTATATATAGATGCTTAAAAAAAACTCCCCGACCCCTGTTGTATTCCTGAAGAATATCGGTTCAGAAATGTCACAAATTTATACTAACATATAACACAACAGCAGCTGTTAATCTGAGTGCCACTTGCTTCAAGGGCATGAGGGTGAAGCCAAACCACTTTCCCGCCTGTTACATTAGCTTGAAGTTTTAATTTTAAAGTTTCTTTCCCATTAATCATATATTAATAAAATACAGTTACTCCTGGGGCCTAATAGGGAAACTTCCTATCTCAACCACATTTTTCATATTAAAAAATGAAGTATATTTCATTAATTACTTTTGGTCAGGTACATGAATGCCAATGGGCTAACAATGCTGAACTTACTTTCCCCACCAAAAATTAGGTCCATCCAGGTTCTTCTGGGAAATTCTATTAAATACAGCTTCCAAGTCTATGTAACAGTCATCATCTGTCTTCAGCAATAAATCAAAGCTGGTTGTTTCCACAGTCCTGTTGGCAAAAAGGGACATGCCAGTCGGCGCCTCCATATGAGGGAAAAGCAACGCGAACGCGGTCCCGCTGCTAATGTTTAAGTGGAATGGCCCCCACCACCTGCAGGCTTTTTCAGTTTCTTATTCCTTAACAGAGCCCTGCACTACCAACCACCGCCCTCCCCTGATACCCACTCCATGGCCGAACACAGGTGTGCAAGCCAATCTGAAAAGGTGCAAAGGGCAGAGAACACCCAGAAAAGCACCTGGCTTAAGTGGAACATGTAACCCAACAAATGCCTTGTGGGCACCGCTCGGGTCAGGCCGCCCAATCTACTGAACATCTGCCCCGTGCCCTTGTGTTTTCACAAGACAGGTCTCGGGGGAGGGGACCGGCGTCATGCCTGGTTCCTCGCAGAACACTGTTGGACAAGCAGCCACAATATGCTACTGTTTATATTACATTCAGCTATTCTATGGTTAAAAAATGAGCTGTAACGCATACACATTTCCCTTGGAAACAATCTCCAGCAATTAAACTACTACTGATAACTTTTTCGGGAAGCACAGGAGGGTGACTTCATTTATCTAGATATAAATATATATATGGGCAACTAGAGACAAAATCGACCATCTTCATTTCATAATGCCAATCCCTGTATATCTTTGTTAAAAAATTCAGAGTCTGGGGTATGCCAGCTTCTGCCACTTTCTGGTTTGGACAACTTCCCAATTCAGTCTGAAACAGATTCAAAATAAATTGGCTTCTTTATGTTGCCTAGGAAACCAGTCAGATGACAGAAATCTGAATGAAAGGAATCTGGAGAAAGTTTCATGAGGTCAAAGAACAATGGATCCAGACCGAACAGCATCACACCAGGCTTGTGAGTCCATTTCTAATTAGCAGCATGAGGCACACATAATAGCTATTTGCTCACGAGGTCAGTGGTGATTCAGTTGAGTAAAGATGACTGAAAAATGAACCTTTCATTTACGGAGTGGAGGGGAGACAGGCAGAGCGGGCTATGGGGAAGCGGGTCCTAAAGCACAGCGGTTGGGAGGTCGCTGTGGTCACCCAAGCGGAGATGATGGCCCAAAATGGTGGCAACAGTCACTGAGGGGAGACACCAAGATCCCAGAGACAGGAGAGGAGCAGAGGAGATAAAGCTTCAACTGAAGGAACATCTAGCCAGACCAAAGCGCCACCACTGGGAGTAGCCCCGGGGGCGCGCCGGAACGCCCCGCACCGACTCCCACCACCTGGGCCTCCACGCCCGCTCCGCGCCACCGTCCGTACCGCACGAACGAGTGCCCACGGCCGCCTGGGGCTTCAGGAAGGCCCGCGCCCCATCCTGGCATCCGGACTTCCAAGTCATGTTTACGTCTGTCCTCTGCCCACAGGACGACTCCAAAATTATGCTGGCTTGTCCTAGCTGGGAAACGTTAGGTTCCCAGCACTAATGAGAGCGTCGGCCCCGCCGGACCAGGGGACCACGTCCACAGAGTGCTTGATAATTGCCCACTCTGCCCAGGGTCCAGAGAAGAAGGGACAGGCAGAGGCTCACCAGGAAACATGCTCATTGATAAAGTTTTAAAAGAAAACACAGGATATTAACACGACGGAGTACTACTCAGCTGTAAAAAAGAAGAAAATTTTACCCTTTGCAACAGTATGGCTAGACCTGGAGGACATGCTAAGTGAAATAAGCCAGTCAGAGAAAGACAAATACCATATGATTTCACTTGTATGTGTATAACCTAAGGAACAAGCTGAACTAACAAGGAAAATGGGACAGACTCAGAGACGGAGGGCAGGCTGACGGCCAGTGCGGAGGGGCTGTGGGGAGGGACTGAGCAGAAGGGAAAAGGGCTCATGGACACGGATGGCAGTGTGGACACTGCGGGGGCAGGGGGTGTGAGGGGACTAAAAGGTGATGTAATAAAGTACAATAAAGATTCAATAAACTACAAAAGAAAAGAAAAAAAGGAAAGACAAAGACGTGAATATAGTTTATAGATACAGCCCAGACAGAGACACAGAAGGTTTTAGTCCTACGTCAGGGTAGACAATATCAGGGGCTCGACAGCAAATTACAGGATCCTAGAGTAACTATATACCAACAACTATAGACAGTTACTATTATGTTGCTTTTATTATTATAAAGGTGGGAATTACAACTAAGACCCAAAAAATACTGGAGGCCCTGGAAGTTATAAACACGACAGACTGAGGGGTGGTGAATTTCATTTCATGTAAGAGTTTTGGAATTAGGGCAAGTAATTTTTAAACGGATGGAGTCGAGAAAGGAAATATAATGTGGAGGTTCAGTTGAACAGAACTCAGACCACTAACCTGGGTGTGAGTGGCTATAATTGGGGACTGAGGGAGGCAGGTTTGCAAATAAGCCCCTTTCAAACTCGCCGATCTTCACCTAATGTTGGCCTGAGACAAACCATGGCAATGGCTCCAAGTGAAACCTACCTGTATGTTTTTGATGGATTCCTACCATTCACGCGATGGGTTTGCTACTCTAAATAAGAAAGGAGCAGCATTTGTAAGACCTGTCCTCACAGAGAAGCAGGATACAAACGACCATAACCCCAGGTGTTCAGGGGTCTCAGGTTTGTTTGTTTCTTAAAAATCTCAGTGATTTGACAAATTGTTTCTCCATCAAAAGAACACTAAAACAAATTCTACTCAGCATTTTTACAACCTACCATTTATAGAATTTCAACAACTTTGCAGGAACATTTCGGTAAGTGTCGACGACATCCACAAAAATGATATCGTCGTGGATGCTGCTTTCCTCCTTCAGTAAGGCATCTTCCTCGTGGAGATTACTTATATGATCAATGCGTCTTCGAGGGCGAGAATGAAGGTTTTGTAAGAGAGCATCGCCTTCTAAAAAGGAGAGGTCGAGAGCTGGAGAAAAGTGCTATTGGCAAACATAGGACCCAGAACTCACACCCGCTAAAACTCTGTCCCCAAGGTAAGCTGACTGGAACATGGCCGGGTAGGAACCTTGGAGGTGCGGAATCGGGAGCTATCAGGACAAACGAACACCCTTGCTTTGGAACGCAGTCTGGCAGGACTTAGTGAGGCTGAGAATACGCACTCTGCCTGACTCATTAGTCCACTGGAGACATTATTTTATGGGATCACAAGGATATTCGCTGCCGCACGGCTTGTAACAGTGAGAAAATGGAACCAACCTCAATGCCCACTCGTAGGAGAATGGCTAAGCTGCGATATATTCACACAGTGGAGCACAGCAGTTTAAATGTAACCTGATCTTGCATGTGAAGAGGAATGGCATTGAAAACAATGCTGAGTGCGAAAAACATGGGGCTAACTGACAGATGCAACATGACACCACAGATAGCATAAAATACCCTAATCAAAGCATTACTTAAAGACACGCACCCGTGCGCTATAGCGGAAAGCAGAAAGGGAAGGACGGGAGGGGTGCGCGTCACTGAGGACAGGGGTGCACTCTCTCAAGGGGAAGGGCGGGGGGCGTCGGGGACAACGGGACGGGCGGGGCTTCCGCTGTACCTGTAATGCTTTATTTCTTTAAAAAAAGCAAATAGGACAAAAGGTAAGCATTGCTAATGCTGAGCAATAAATACACGGCCATTTCTTATAGCAATCCCTATTTTTGGAGTATTTACAATACTTCAAAATAAAAATGGTTACTACTGTGCTTAAAAGGCTATTTACCACCTCACGAGTTTATAAATTACTTGCCACATTTGTGCAGGGACTGTCTTCAGACCCTATGGATATAATTAAGGCAGCAATTCTTTCATTAGGGCAGGATTTCCTCAAATGTCTCAAATTAAGAGAAAATTTCTGAAAAAAAAAAAGTGAGTGACTGGGGGTGGGGGGAGTTCAACAGTAGCAGAGTGTCCCACTAACATAACTGCGAAGGGGCAGGCCGAGGACCGAGACTCGAAGGCCTGCGCATTTGATGTCTGTCTCTGCCACTCTCTGAGATGCCAAGCCAAGTCACAAGTCCCTGGGCCTCAGTTTTCCCTCCTGTAAAAGGAGGCCTGGTTCTCAGGAATGCTTTGGAAATACAGATCTCCAGGCCCCAAGCCCAAAGATACTGCAGGTCTGGGGTGGGACCCAGCAATCTGCATTTTTAAAAATTAAGAAGAAATGTCCTGATTTTAGATAAAGGAAGGGTGAGAGAAACACTGATTTGTTATTCTGCTTATTCATGCATTCATTGGTTGCTTCTAGTATGTGCCCTGGCTGGAGATCGAACCCTCAACCTTGGCATAGCAAGAGGACCCTCCAACCAACTGAGGCACCCAGCCAGAGCCCAATCTGCATTTTTAACATGTGTCTCCCTGTACCTGACCACCCGCTAGGAAACACAAGCCTAAACAACTTTGGGCCTTTTCAACTCTTACATGCTATTTTAACATCCTTTCACTTTAATTGAGAAATAAGGATAAATACATACAACATAACACTTAAAGGAAAGTGAAACTGTTCTAACACTGCAGTTACAGAAAATGGTAAGAAGATAAGAGCAGAAATTAAATACAGGCCTTTTCAATTAACGAATCACACATTCTGTTTTATGTTGCATCTATCTGAAAGATAAGAGTATGAAGCACTACGTTGGTGTGTGTTTAAATTCTGATGGTCTGTCCTGGGGCTGTTCAAAAGAATCGTGCAGTTTACAACCCCTCCGAATCTGGAGGCGTCAGTTAGATCCGTCTAGGGAGCTTGTTTAAATACAAACATTAGAGCACTTAATTCTGAAGACTAGCTCTGCCTCTTGAGGTAGGGCCCAGCCAGAGATGCTAATGCCCCACGAAATGTAAGAACTGATGTACCATGCAATTCTTCTGAACAGCCCTTTAATTCTCAGATTAAAAAATTTTTTTCTGTTCAGATTTCCAGATACATTCAGTACCTGAGAAGACAATCAGTTCATTTTAATTCCTTTAGCTTAAAACCTGAGTTATTTCCCTCTTACTTGAAAAGCATTTTTCTAAGGCACCCTAAAATTACTAATAAATGAGTTCAGCAATGTTGAGGTACACAGGTTCATATACAAGAATCAATCGCATACATTATCAATGAACAATCTGGAAATAAAAGTTTTAAAAATTCCACGTACAACAGCATCAAAAACTAGTATTAAAGAATAAATTTAACAAAAGCAGCGCATGACTTGTACTCTGAAAATCACAAAACATAACTGAAAAAATTTAGTAAGACCTAAATAAGACACCCCATGCTCACGGATCAGAAACTTAATGGTACAATGGCAACACTCCCCAAAGTGATCTACACACTGGATACAACCCCTTTCAAAACTCCCGCTGGCTTTTCTGGGGAAATCGACAAGCTGGTCCTAAAATTCCTATGGAAATGCAAGGGACCCAGAATAGCCCAAACAATCTGGAAAAAGAACAGGATTGGAGGACCCGCACTCCCTCATTTCATATATTACTACAAAGCAACATAACCAAGACTGTAGTCCTGGGGTAAAGACATAGAGACCAACAGAACAGAGACTATGGAAGCGAATCTTTGTACGTAAGGTCTGTAAGCAGATGCGTGGTAGCTTGGGGCTGGAGGGGAGGGAGAATGAGGGTGGCTGCCAATGGGGCGTGGGGTTCTCTCTGGGGTGCTGGAAATGATCTGGAATTAGTGCAGATGGGTGCAGAACTCAGCATATTAAAACCCACTGAATTAAATACTTTGAAAGGATAAATTGTGTGGTATGTGAATGATATACCAATAAAGCTATTTTTTAATGACAAAAAAACAAATCACCTTTTATGTCTAAGTATAGAGTACGACTAGGTACATGATATTCAGTGTGCTTTGCAGCTTTCAACCAGCCAACTTACCCTGAATAGTATAAATAAAACCACCTGCGACTCCCTCCACACCTTCCATGAATTCATGAGGCAACGCACCCTCTGCTGCCTGAAAGAAACAGGAATGCAAGTGTTCGATGTTTCATTACAAAAACACACTTCTTACATTTAAAACCGACTGGCAGAATTCACAACATGGCTGCACAGCGGCTAAACCCTCCCACGCTGCCGGCGCACTCGACCTGCACTGTCGGGGTGGCCTCGGTGCCCGCCTCGTACGTGAGGTTACACGTCAGGTATGTGCAGTCGTCCATGCGGTGTTCAGAATCCCAACTTACACAATCATGTATTATTGAACTTTCTTCCGTAATAGCGCAAAATCCAATTTTATTTCACACTGTAACCCTACCACTTAAAAAATTATAATCATTTTTCATTTCTTGGAGATTGAAAATTCCCATGAGTCTGAACACATCCAGGCACAGTCTGAAGTCAGGTTACTGCGCAGAGAAAGGGCCTCTCGGCCTCAGCACGATGGCTGATGCCGGTAACGTAAACAGGCAGTAACATGCCGTGTGGTATGTACTTCAAAGTCAGGAATTAATTCACCTGAATAAGGTTAATATTTAATGAAAGTGTACTGACTTGTGAATTGAAGTGCAAGTGCTTTTCTAAGCATCAGATCAGAGCATCAGGGAGAGCGAAAGACAGTCTGACAGCACAAGCACCACCAAACTGGGGTTCTCCGTTTTCGGTTTGTCTGCACCTCCTGCCCCCCACCCCTGCTGTTTAAGGAATTTTTATTAGAGCATGAATGTTATAATCCAAATTACATTTCCTTGCTCAGTTATCAATTGTTATGAATGTTCTTTATCGTCCTACATTCATTTACTCTGAGAAATTTACCTATCAACCTGTTTTAAATTTGAAGCAAATTTGAATAAATGAGAACTATGAGACAGAAATTCCAGCAATATAAGTGAAAGTGAAAACTCAACCTTATTTCCAATACTTTCATCTATAGTATTTAAAAAAAAAACGTGTCCCAGGCATGAAACAGCTCTGGCGAGGAGCACAGGTGTCAGGCCAGGGCGAAGGCGGGCTGGCCTGGAGGCGGCTTTGCCCCTCCTGATACAGAGCAACGCCAATCCCGCGCCTCCTTGCCCTCTGCCAGGGGTTCATCTACAGCATTTTACCTAATGTCCTACCGTCAAGGTGAGACGGTGGATATTCTGGGTTTATTAAGCAAGCAAGTGTTCTTGATGTTAAATACTGTTGAGAAATAAAATGTCACTCTTCTTCAAATGCACTGATTGATCTTAAGGCAAAACTATATAGGTTGGGGCAAGGTTGATTATTCCATATTGTCTGGGTTGGTATAAAAACAAATCGAAAAACACTTTTATGTATTAAAAAATGCTGAAGTATGCCAAACAACCTTAAAACAAAAAAGAATGACTTACTGTAATGACTCTGAGAACTCCTCCTCCATCATTTACTGTCACTTGGTGGAGGTTTCTTGACACAAGGCCCTGGGGGTCTTGGCTCTCCCACACGATTGTACCTTCAAAGCTCTTTCGTGAAAGATGAAAAGTGAGTCATTTCTTTATTGCTGTCATTTATATTTACTTCTTCCTAAGATACATTGGTTAACATTTTTGTCCTGCAACTAACACACAATTGTTAACATTTTGGTATGTACCCTTGAGTCTAGTTTTTTCAAATACACATCTAAGAAACAACTGAAGAGTAAACAGACAATTTTGCAGGCGCTGTTTGCTACTGCCCCTAAGTGAAGGCACTTCCTCAAGCTACTGCAGCCATCACAAAACAACTCGCCGCCTTCAGACACTGGCTGCTTCCAAGGAGCTACTAAAATCACAGGAGCCATGTTTTGGTTGTAAGGTTTATTCCCCCACCCAAAACTACTTAAAATAAATTCCCAGAAGTGAAACTACTGGGATAAAAAACAGATATGCTGTCTTTTATATGATTTTTGGTAAACAGTGTCAAACTGCTTTTCAAAAGCAAATTAATTTATAGAGTCATTAGCAATTCATGAAAATGTCCATTGCACTGTACTCTTCCCAGTACGGGGTGTTAGTAAAAGAAAAGAAGTTTACGCTGATTCGTTACATTAAAAAAGTGACTCCTCATTTAATTGTGTTCCTTTGGGTTTCTAGTGATGTATGTGAATTATATAGTCTTTTCTGGGCATTGCTTTGTCATGCTTCTTTGCCATTTAGCCACTGAATTTTATATTTTTATTAATCTGTGTGGGTTTTTAATAGATAATCTTGCATATATTTTATATGCTAAAAATATCTTTCAGAATTGTTTGCCATTTAGTTTTTTTTCAACTAAAAACCTTTTTTTAATTTTAATTTTACTATTATTTTTTCCCATCATCGATGTACATCTCCAGGGCCAGTGTGTGAAGATGCTCAGCCTGGCTCTCCAGGAGAAGTTTCAGGGATGGCAGCAGGAGGGCCTGGTTCGCGCTCAGCTCCTGCACACACTCAGCAGGGAGCATCTGGCTGGTGTTATATAAAGAGCGACAGATTCAGAACTTCATTCTGTAGGCCTTCCCTGGACTCCCTTGTCCATCTGGACAGCATTGCCGTAGCAAGCCTCACCCAAGGATTATTCGTTACGCTGGTTACATATTCACAACTCACAGGCAGCCATGCATGTAAGAGCAAAACCAAGTGCTGAAATTCAGCCTCTTGGTGGTTAGACTCCAGGAGCTCTGCGCAGAGTGAGCAGCCGCTCTCTTCGTTTTCAACATCGGTCATGGCCACCTGCCTCTGGGACTAAGTGGCTTTGAGAATGGCTTTCATCCTAATAAACAAGAGGAGCTTGCCATCCTCCTCAGTCAGGTGAAATGACTGTCCCAAATCCTGCAGCATGTGGATGCAGGGCCAGAGAGGCTGCACATCGTTAGCACAGAACGGGCACAGCCAAGGCCAGCAGGTCCGCGGGGGAAACCAGCTCTTCTCCATTGTCCACACTGGCGTGGACGGCTGCAACACCACCTTCCAGGACCTGGAGTGGGTCCTGTGACCCACTGAGGTCAGCACTGCCTCCCCTTAATGCAGAAACAGTTTTTGTCACTGCGCTCTCCACTGTCCTTGGGCGAGAGGTCCAGGGGACCCAGGGCCACCTCCAGCAGCTGCTGAATCAGCCCTAGTGGCTGACCATCCAAACCCATGGCCATGGCTTGATCATGAAGATTTTTTTTCTGACCAGGACAGATCATAGAGGTTACTGTACTTCTGCAGTATTTCCTGTTCACTGTTTTTCAGAGAAACAATGAAGCTACGGTTCAGGGTTTCCAGGTAAGCGAGTGATTTCTCCAGATGACTCAAGGTATCTACATAGGTCACTTAAGAATCACCAGCTTCTTGAGTGTCTTCTTCTGAACTTCTTTTCCTTGGCTTCTCAATAAAATGCTTGACTGTCTTCATGGCCTTGCTAGTCATCTCTTTATGGGCTTCTACAGACAGCCTGGTCTCCGGCATAGGCGGGGGCAGAGTGGGCAAGAGACGACGGAGGAGAGACTGCAGAAGGCGGCTTTGAGGAGAGAACTGAAGAGAGTATCTGGTGGGATCCTGGTGCTGACTCTAAAGACATTTTTTTAGATCCATAAGTTTTATCTTGTTTAACTTGACAAGCTTTTCCTTTATGATAATTACTATTAAATTCTGATTTGAGGAAGTTACATTCCCCTCCCCCAAGGTTGGATATACATTTAAATGCTACTGTCTTTTGATTTCTCTGTGATCTCCATTTGTAGGATCTGCACCCAGGTGGCTCCTTAGTTCTGCTCAGGCTAGAAAGCTACACCCGTCCCGAGGGAGGCTTTCTCTTCGGGAGCAAGAAGGTAGCCAGTGCCCCGTCTCTCTCCAACGCACCAATCTTTCTTTTTGTTAAAATATATTTTACTGCTTATGCTATTACAGTTGTCCCAGTTTTTCCCCCTTTGCCACCCTCTGTCCAGTATCCCCTTCCCTCCAGCAATCGCCCCCTTAGTTCATGTCGATGGGTCGTCCATCTAAGTTCTTTGGCTTCTCCAGTTTCTATACTATTCTTAACACCCCCCTGGTTACTTGGTACCTACCAATTATGCTTCTTAATCTTGCACCTTTCCCCCCATTCTTCCCCCTCCTCACTGATAACCCTCCATTTGATGTCCATTTCTGTGATTCTGTTCCTGTTCTACTTGTTTGCTTAGTTTGTTTTTTGAGATTCAATTGTTGATGGTTGTGAATTTGCTGCCATTTTAATGTTCATAGTTTTGATCATCTTCTTTTCCTTAAATAAGTCTCTTTAACTGTTCTTATAATAGGGGCTTGGTGATGATGAACTCCTTTAGCTTTACCTTATCTGGGAAGCACTTTAACTGCCCTTCCATTCCAAATGATAGCTTTGCTGGGTAGAGTAATCTAGGTTGTAGGTCCTTGCCTTTCATCACTTTAAATACTCCTTGCCAGTCCCTTCTTGCCTGCAAAGTTTCTTTTGAAAAATCAGCTGACAGTCTTATGGGAAGTCCTTTGTAGGTAACTCTCTTTTTTCTTGCTGCCTGTAAGATTCTCTCTTTATCTTTAACCTTTGGCATTTTAATTATGATGTGTCTTGGTGTAATCCTCTTTGTGTCCAACTTGTTTGGTACTACTCTCTGCGCTTCCTGGATTTTCTTTGCCAAATTAGGTTGAGTTTTCTTTCATTATTTTTTCAAATAATTTTCCAATTTCTCACTCTTCCGCTTCTCCTCCTGGCATCCCTATGGCTTGGATGTTGGTACGTTTGGAGATGTCCCAGAGGCTCCTTATGCTATCCTTGTTTTTTTTTTTTTAATTCTTTTTTCTTCTTGCTATTCTGATTGAATGCTTATTTATTCTTTTTGTTCCACATCATTGATTTGAATCCCAGCTCCCTCCCCTCTAATGATGGTTCCCTAGATTTTTCTTTATTTCATTTAGTGTAACCTTCATTTCTTCCTTTATGTTGTTCCTGTACTCAATGAGTTCTCTGAGCATCCTGATCAGTATTTTGAACTCCGCATCTGATAGGTTGGTTATCTCTATTTTGTTTAGTTCTTTTTCTGGGGTTTTGTTCTGTTCTTTCATTTGGGCCATGTTTCTTTGTCTCCTCAATTTGACTCCGTGTTTGTTTCTGTGTATTAGGTATAACTGCTTTGAAACCCTGCCTTAGTAGCGTGGCCTAATGTAGCAAAGGCACCCGTAAATTGTGTGGGGCAGAGCCTAAGGTAATCGCCAGAGCAGGGCAACCCACTTCACCGCTTCGTCGCTGTGTGTTGGGGGAGGGCTTGGGGAAGGGACGATGCTGGCTTCTGAAGGTTTGCCTGGCACTTACCCCGTTTCCAGTCACTTTAGCCACTTCCCATATGTGACTGGCGCCCTTCCAGCTGTTGCCCTGGTGAATCCCAGAGTGGGTGGGTTTGCGTATGTTCTAGGTCCTGTGTGGGCCCTGTTAGCTGAGTCTCCTGAAAATCTGGTAGTTTCTTCCGTCACCCCAACCCCAACTGGTTTTTACAGCCAGAACTTATGGGGATTTCTCTTCCTGGTGCTGGAACCCTGGGCTGTGTGGTCTGGACTGGGGCTGGGATTGCTCGCTCCCAAGGTATCCCTTCTGATTTTTATCCACCACATGTGAACAAGGGATCGTCTGCTCTCCCTTGCCACTCTGTGCCACACTCTGTCTCTCTGCTCCTCTCTGCCCCTCTCCATGACTCCGCCCCTTCTACCTGTCTGGATGAATGTGGCTTCTTTAAATCCTTGGTTGTCATACTTCCACACAGCTCGGTTTTCGGATGGTTCTGGGTGTTATTTGTTTTGAGGCCTAGTTGTAATTCTTCCTATGGTGCACCAGGAGGTGAAGCGTATCTACCTACGCCTCCATCTTGACCAGAAGTCCTGTCTGACTTTCTTAATCCCATTTCGCACTCCGCTTTCTGTTTACCTTTCTATTGTCAAGACTAACTGCTCCCACTAGAATTTGAGGACCAGTTGCCAGGGACCTTACCAGCTTATCAACCACTACATCTCCAGCACCCAGAATAGCCTGACTTATATGCAGCACATAAAATAAATATGTAAATAAGTGGAACAGCAGAAATTTATGTTTCTTGCTCTCTCCAAAAAAGAAAATGTGTATTTAATGTTGAATTCAAAATCAATTATTAATTCTGGTACAGGGCATGAGATAAAATATACAGACTTAATAGCATAAAAAAATTTCACATACTAAAATTAAGAAATAACTACTTTACAGTAACGTCTCATTTAGCAAGCATTATGAGGAAACAATGCAAAATCAAATTTGTCCAACGAGTTAGTCCAGTGGTTTGCAAGCTTTTTTTAAGCAATAAAACTTCTCTACTAAAACAGATAAAAACACTGAAGGAGCCTGGGTTCCTCAGACAGCCTGTCACTTTATATTCTGCTCACATGCCTCCTTAACCTTTATTATCTGAGACACACCTGATACACCTGGTGGAGTCCTAGGGCTCCTTGGGGCAGATCTGTGGACACATTTTGTCTCATCCTTTCCT